GGTCATGGGTATAAGAGGCACAACATACGTATACATAGTAATACACACAAGTCTAGGTTCGCCTATTACTTTTTTTTTTCCCCCATTTTTTTTTTTTCTTGTTGTAATTATTATCCCGTAGAATTATACGCAATAGCGACAGTAAGATTTTACAATTTGTTCTCTTGTGTTTTTTTTTTTTTTTTTTTTNTATCTTCTTTAACATTTTAAGCAGCCAAGCAGCTATTATTATACAGTACAGACAGGAAAGCAAGCAGCAGCATTTTCATACACACAACAAGCTTTCTTAAAATAATAATATCATAAGCCATAATTCCGTTCAATTACCGTACGATAGATTTAAATTAGCGATCACCCACGGATACATAAGCAGACATATACCATCGACGATATCATTACCTGTGCGAGAACGATACACATCGCGATACCGTTGAATAGAATTATTTTGTAATTCCGAGTTATAGAGAGAGAGAGAGAGAGTGAGTGAGTGAGTGAATGAGCGAGTGAGAGAGAAAGAAAACGAGAGAGAAAAAGAAAGGGAGAGAGAGAGAGAGAGCGTGCGTGTGTGAGAGACAGAGAGAAAATGGTAGAGAAAGAGTGAGAGAGAGAGAGAGAACGAGGAATAGAGCGAAGAAAGAAGCAGCAAAGCACTGAAAAAAAAAAAAACGAGCTTATTCGAAATTCGTCAGATATGTAAAAAAAATTGTATTGAGAAATAAAAAAGAAAAAGAACCGGTGCCATAGGCTCGAAAACATCTTGAAAAACATCCGGGGAACATGGAAAAAAAAAAAAAAAAGAATAAATAAATGAATAAAGGCTGAATTCTTTCCGGTAACGACTCCGTTTCGGGTACAAATCGTTTCTTCTTAAGCGAAATAATGCCGAGCGTTACCGTGCTTGCTTATTATTTGTTATCTGCCAAGGTGTTCTGGTTATAATATATATTTATTGATGACTATTATTAATATTATTATTATATATTATTATATAATTATAGTTATTATTATTTTTTATTTCTAAGCAATGTCAAATGCATCTTAATATATTTTCACCACGATTTTTTTTTTTTTTTTTACATATATATATATATATATATATATATTTATATGTATGTACATATATATATAATATGAAATGTACTATTTGGTTTTAATAATTCGCTTTGTATCTCTTTTTTTTTCTTTTTCTTCGTTTTTTTAGTCACCTATCACATCCTCGAGAGAAAAAAAAAAAAAAAAAAAAAAAAA